GTAAGCGGGGGCAGGAACTCACTGAGGCTGGTTTATGTAGTGGCCCCCATGCCTAGAGAACACTGGAAATGTATGTACCCTTGACTAGTGGGGTTCATTGCTTTGTGAATGGTCTCAAGGAGATCTCTGGAAGCTTAGAAATGGAGGGCCAAGTGTTCCTGTGTGTTTTGTTGGGCAGAGTATTTGACTTCTGGTCAGAATCTCAGACTTGTGATGCAGGACCAAGTTAAGAACCACTAGGGATTTAGCTCAGTGGTTGACACCTACCTTGCAAATGCAAGATCCCGAGTTTGATCCCTGGTACCAAAAACAAAGAAACAAACAAGTTAAGAACCACTGTCATAGGCATTGTTTTTAGGTATGCAGATACTGTAAAATTAGGGTCAGACCAGGTTCGAATATTTTTTTTCATCAGTACTGGGGATTGAAACTAGGCCTTCACACTGAGGCACATCCCCAGCCCTTTCTCAGATTTAAAGTTTTTTGAGACAGGGTCTCACAAGCTGACCTAGCCCAGGGTGCTCTTGAACTTGTGGCGGTCTTCCTACCTCAGCCTCCTAAGTGCTAGGATTACAGGTGTGTGCCACCATGCCTGGGCCTTTTTTATTTTTTATTTTGAGATAGGGTCTTACTAAGTGGCTAAATTGCTCAGGCGAGATTTGAACTTGGAATCCCCCTCAGCCAACCAGAGTGGTGGGATTAAACATGTGTGCCTCATACCCAGCTCTCAAATCTTAGTAAGTCTTCTCTTCTTGCCTCCTCTACCTAGCATTGATGGTACTTTTTAGTGTGTTCACTGTGTCAGTTCCTAATAAGACAAGCCAGGGACTCTGACATCAGGACTCCCACAGCCTGTGTGATACAGCTCACTGCTTAAACATTAATGTGCATAGAAATCAGAAGCAAGCCAGGCGTGGTGGTGAGTGTCTGTGATCCCAGCACTTGGGAGGCTGAAGCAGGAGGATCGCTGTGAGTTCGAGACCAGCCTGGGCTACATAGTGAGTTCCAGGTCAGTCTCAACTATGTAGCAAGACCCTGTCTCAAAAAAACCAAAAAAGAAAAAAGAAAAGAAATCAGAAGCAAATTTTGCATTGTAATGAAATGGGACCATGCCGGAGACTAGACTGCCTGTGGAACCAGCTCCAGGCAATAGCAGTACTGCTGTGCATGGTTCTTGCTCTGTATAATGAGATACCAAAGGGGGCCACCTCACTGCAGACACCCAGTCCCTTATTGAGTTTCCAGGGGCCCTGATTCAACTGTGTGTGTGTGTGTGTGTGTTCGCCAGCCTACATTCACTTACTAATACAGCATTTACTGAGTACCCACTGTACACCCACGTGGGCTAGACCAATGATGGCGAACCTTTTAGAGCGCTCAGTATATAAATAGCCTGCTATGGCATGAGTGTCATATGTTTGCCACCACTGTGCTAGATAGACCCTGAAGGAGTAGAGACAAACAAGGCTGATATAACCCCTGGAGTCCACAGTTTGGACCCTAATTTATATAGGGTCTTTATTCTTGGTCTTTATTTATTCTTTGGAGGATGAGAAGGAACCAATTAGTTGGGAACCTGGGGGCAAGCACATCCCAGGCAGTGGAACCAGACAGAGCAGAGCCCTGGGAAGGAAGTGGCATAGCTTGACGGAGGAAGTAAAAACCCTGTTTGAGGCAGGAATGGGAGAGAGAGGAGATGGAGGTGGTAGATGGGCCATATCACCCTTCACCATCACAAGGGAGAAAGGGGCAGTATTGGAAGTGAGTAATGGAGTCTGCCCATGATGAAAGGGGAGTGTAACGCTGGGAATTTGGGCTTCTTCAGAAAAAGACTACATGTGCCTATCTGTTCCTCTTCACAGTGTCTGCAGAACCCATCCAGTGATATCAGGCTGGTGGCTGAGAAGATGATCTGGTGGGCAAATAAGGACCCACTGCCTCCCCTGGACCCCCAGGCCATTAAGCCGCTCCTGAAGGCACTTCTGGATAACACCAAGGATAAGAACACTGTTGTCAGGGCCTACAGCGACCAGGCGATTGTCAACCTGCTTAAGATGAGGCAGGGGGAGGAGCTGTTTCAGGTGGGAGCCTGGGTCTGGAGAGCTGCCCAGGGCATTCTCTAGGCATCTGTCTTGATGTTCTTCTGTGTGACAGTGATTAGGCCCGTTCTCTTCTCTGTAACCATGTGTGTATTAGCTTGTAGGAGCAGGTTGAGGCTGGGATGACTGGAGTAGTGCTGGAAACACATATACTGTGGTTGTTAGACTCCTTTTGGAAACAGACCTTTCTTCATATAAAATCTCCCGCAGTAGCCACACAGGTGCCATAGTTCCCAGCGGGACTGCCCTGCTGACCTCAGCCCCATTCCTTCAGCTCCTGCCCTCAGTAGCCTTTACAATCACTGAAAACTTTAACCTCTCCTTGCCTCAGCTCAGGGAAAGCAAAATGAGCACTTTTTCGGACTGTCTGTGAACCCAGCTGATTCTCTTTGTTTTGCCAAATTCCACCTCTGGCTAGTTTCCAGGTTAGCATCCGTCTTTGTCTTGATTTGACTAGGAAGTCTGAAATATTGTTTTCTATGTCTCCTCACACCCTTCCCTCCCCACAGTCCCTCTCCAAGATCCTAGATGTGGCCAGCTTGGAGGCCCTGAATGAATGCAACAGAAGGTCCCTGAAGAAGCTGGCCAGCCAGGCCGACTCCACGGAGCAGGTGGACGACACCATTCTGACGTGATCAGCCTGAGCCCTCTTGCTGCGTGTAGCTCCACATCTTTGTTCACTGTTTTCATTTTTGAAAATATGTTTGTTCCAATGGGGAGCTGAGGAGATGGTGTTTCTGAAAGTATTTTAATATATCAACCAACCACAGCCAAAGCCTTAAATCAAACCCACACACAACTGAAGATTGCCTCCTCCATCTTCCACCCTTTTCTTTGGAGAAGAGAAGGAAAAGCACATTCATCAGCCTTCATGATTTGTGGCCCAGGGCTGGCCATCCAGCTTGTCACAGTCAGGTCCAGGACAAGGTCTGTGTCTTGAATTTCAAGTTCCTCCTCTCCTGTGCTTGAGCTCTGGTTCAAGAGCTGGCACTGCCAACATTTGCCTAGATCCTGAGCAGGGCACAGAACTGCAGAGCTCTGCCTGGTGTGGTGTCTTGGCTTGGCTTTCTGACCCCTATCAGGGAAAAGTGATACCCACACAGCTCTGGCAATTCCTAGGTCTGGAAGGGTATAGGTTTACGTACAGGTCGTTTAAAGGAGGAATGTTTAATAAAGGCTTTGATTTAATCTCATTAGAAGCAGTTTTTATAATCTTTAAACATCCATTAAGCATGAAGCTTCCTGTATCAGGAATAAGGAAAGGTCTGCAACTGTTTTTCTAAAAGGGGAAAGATTTACACAATCTGAAGAGAAACCGGAGTATCACTGCTGTTTTTTTGTTTGTTTGTTTTTTGTTTTGTTTTTTTGTTTTTTGAGACAGGGTCTCACTAAGAAGTTGAGACTGACCTGGAACTCACTATGTAGCCCAGGCTGGTCTCGAACTCACAGCAATCCTCCTGCCTCAGCCTCCCGAGTGCTGGGATTATAGGCGTGTGTCACCACGCCCAGCTTTCGGCTGTTTTTGTAAGTATCAGCAGCACACTGATTTCTGGACGTCCCCTCCCGTTTTTGGAACTCTTATCTGTCCCTACAGACTTATCTGACCTGAGGTCAGTACACAGCCAAACCTGGGGTTCCCCCCACCAGGAGTGGGGAGAAGGTAGGGATTGCGTTAGCCTCTTCCCAGTTCTTTCTCAACTTGAAAAGGTAGGGAGCTTTCAGTGGTCAAGTTGTAGAAAAACTTGTTCCCTCTGCGGAGTAACATTCCTATAGTCCAAGAACTGCAAGAGAAAACTGAAGTTGCAGTTCAGCATCTGCCTCCTTTATGAATGACTTCCTTCCTCCTGATTCTTAGAAGGCCCGTGACACACACGTCCTCTGGTGGAGCACACCCCACTGGGCCATAGTGACGCAAGTTTTTCTGGGCTGTTTTGTAGGTCACAGTATGAAACACACAAACCTCCATCAAAATTTCTGGCCAGAGCTGTAAAAGGAAGAGAAAAAGTTGTAGCACAAAGATGTAAAATGTTACACTAAAAAAAAGCAAGCTTTTGCTTATTATTAATGCAGCAGAAGTAAAAATAAGTTTTTTTGTTTTGGTACCGGGGATCAAACTCAGAACCTTGTACTTGTGAGGCAGGCGGCGGAACCACTGAGCTAAATCCCTGGCCCTTTAAAAATAAGATTGTGTTGGGCCAGGGATTTAGCTCAGTTCCGCCACCTCCCTCGCAAGCGTAAGAACCCGAGTTTGATCCTCGGTACCAAAAAAATAAAAATAAGAATGTGACAACACTTCTGGTGATTAGAACAGGGTGACCTCTGAGGTGCTTCTGATGAAATCTTTGCTTTCTGTACCCAGGCTTTAATGTCACAGGACTTCCTATTGTCTTGCAGCAGACCTGGTCTCACTCAGCTGGCTCAGGGTAATTGTAGAATCCCAGGGCTGCGAGGGACCTCCAGAATTCAGTAGAGTTGGTCCCCACAGCTAAGTAGCCAATGGTTTGTTTTTCGTAGCCGTGTTAACTTTCCTGCTGTAGGATTCAGGTGGTCATCAGCACCCTCCCAGTTACCTAGGGCACCAGTCCAGAAAGCTATCTGTATATGTGCTCACCTCCCAGATGGTGGGGAGATGCAGGAATTTTCTGTTGTGAGGAGACATGACTGGGAAGACTCCACCGAACGCAGGAGGTAGTTTTCAGTGTTTCCCTTCAGGGTCTTAGGTTAGATGCTTACCTCCATTCCCCAGTTTGCAACCGGGAGGACAACTTGACATGCTTAATGAGGGAAGACACTCATTAAACAAAATCCAAAGGAAAAACACCAGCTTCCAGTTTCAGAAGAAGGAGGAGGATGAGATCTCTCTGTTCAGAATAGAGGCTGGAGGTTGATTCACAGACGGAGATGACTCAAAGGTACCCAGAGCGTGTGAATTGCATTCTCTTGAGTTTGGAAGGAGCACGGCTCTCGGGAAGCAAGCAGCAAAGGGTTGTCACACAATGACAGAGCAGGCAAAAGGACCTGAGGCTGGAATCACAGTCCTAGAAGCCACAGCCCAGGCCAACCCCAGGGGAAGTGGAGCTTGGCAGCAAAGAAGCAGAAGCTATTTGTCCCAGTGGTTGGAGGAGTTTTTTAGCCTTGGACAAGTCATCTAATCCTGGGACAGTTTCCTCATCGGTTAAATGAGGAATTTGGAGTGCAAGCTCTAAAAATCTATTCTCAGTTATCCTTTAGGCATTGGTGGCAATTAGATAACATTTGACTTATTTCTCTGAAGCATCCTATGAAGTAGGTTTTCCTGTTACTATTTTCTTGAGGGAGTTGAGGCAGAGGACACTCACCCAGGATCATACAGTCAGTGAATGGCATTCTGTCTCCGGTGGGAATGCTTAGCCTTTCGGCTCTCCTGTGCTGGAGGGTCAGGCTTCAGCATTTTCCATTCTTTAGAGCAATTCAAAGGCCTCTATATCTATTCTGTCTTGGAACTCACAGGAAACAAAGACACAGGGCACCCTGGGTAAAAGGATAAGCTGCTGCAAATGACTGGCCAGGGGCTCCACCCACAATCAGGCCTTACCCAGCTGCTCTGCGGGCTGCATGGAGCAGTACACCTCACCCTGTTTCCAGGGCTCTGGCTGGGAAAGTCTTAGAGAAATTAGACTCACTGATCTACCAGGGGGGCTCTATCTCATCTTTCCTTTCCATGTGTTTGAAAGCCAGTGACAAAATGGTGTGCCCTTTGCTACTCAGGAGACTGACTAAACTGAACATCCCTAATCCTTCAACTAACTCAGAGCCTCTGGATTCCTGAGTGGTCAAGCTGACTTTAAAATGGGGGTGATGATTCAGACCACCGAGGACCCAGACCTGGAGCTAAGTTCTCTCCACACTGCAGTGCCAGAAGACTTGGAGAAGGGAGGACAAAACTGGCACAATTTTGAATGCAGGGTTTTGAAAACAGTTTTGCTGATGACATTTTTTTTTTTCTCGTATTGGTATGTTCTAGGTACACAGTACAGTTACATTCATCATTGGGATCTTGTACTTTACATGACAGGTCTTGGTTCTCATTTTTTCCCCTTGTCCCTGCCCTCCCTTTTGCTGATAGATTTTTAGATAAGGCAATTGGCAATATTTTTTCTTTTAAGTATGGTTCTGTGTGTATCTTAAAGTTGCTTCAAGTTATTACAATAAGGAAAAAATATCCAGTCTAACTTAAAAGTCTAGGTTTTAAAATACTTTGGAGGAAATATAGGTAGCATATTACTTTAAAGTTCTGGTATAGTGGAGCCACGGGAACTTTAAAGTTAAGATACGAACCTCAACTTTACTGCTTAATACTAAGCTCTGTCATGGAGGCATTGTCCTTGGCCGCTTAGCACCTTTCCTCTGTACAGTCATCTCCCAGGGCTGTTGTCTGGATTGAGGCCAGGCCCACAGGAGGTTCTTGATAAAGACATGGTGTGAGTGAAATGAGGGATGTCACGGGAAAGGGATCTATTACCATATAAAATGTCACAGTACAGGCTCACATCTGGGAATTTGTTGCTGGACCCAGATGTATAATTGATTTTTAAAAAATGATTTCCTGAACCACATCATACTACCCATTTTATTCAATACTGAGATCAAACCTAGGGCCTTTGAGCTGAGCTGCATTCCTAGCCCAGCTCCCTGGCCCCTTTAATTATTCTGACACCCCATCTTGCTAAATTGCCCAAGGTGGGCTCAAACTTCTGGTCCTCCTGCTTCAGTCTCCTGGGGATCTGGGAGTATATGTCTGCACCACCACACCTGGCTTATCTCCCATTTCTTTTGTGACAGAGTCTAGCTATGTAGTTCAGGCTGGCCTTGAACTCATGGCAGTCCTGTCTCAGCCTCCTGAAGGCTGGGACTACAGGCATGTGCCACCATGCCTGGCCTTCTCTCCCATTTTAGAATCATCTTGAAAACCACGATTTTAGAGGCTCTGAATAGTTCAAAACTCAATTAAAATCCGATTTCTTTGGAAAAACTAATGACTGACTATCCAAACTGCGGAATGAGAGGTGTCGGGCGCATAGGTCTCTACTGTGCACAGGCAGAGGCACTTAGCCGTCCCTGGCACTTCCCACACTGGTGCTCCTTCCTTTAGGAAGGGTAAAGGTGAGGTACAGCTGGAAGAAGGGCATGCAGCCAGTTGGCAGCTGAACTGCATTTCTTGGGTCTCTGGTCACCAAGCCCTGGGGCCATTCCATAAAAATTTGGGAAAGACGATTTAAAGAAAGTAGTCTGGCTCTTGGCAGGTGGCTTCACAATGACATAGTTTCCCACTACAGAAGAGGTGAAGCCTGCCTGCTTGGATGGTTCTGAGCTCCCCTTGGTTCTGTTGGGAGGGCCCCTGCTACCTGCCGGGTGGAGGTAAGCTTAGGAAATTGGAAAAACTAGCCCAGGGAGTATTGCTGCAGTGGGACTCTGGGTGAGACCTGCCCGGGTGTGCCAAGAAGGAAAACTCCAGGCCCGTTCTGGTGCTATTCTGCATGGCTTCTTTGTTGAGATGGCAGCCTAGTCACAGAGATGGTGAGTGCGTGGAATCCCTCAGCTGTGCCTCTCACTCCCACCAGAGAAAGCTGTGCTGATCCTTCTCACCACTTCCATGCCTACACAAATTGAGGTGGGAAGCCAAGGTGTGGCAGGATCTGGCCAGGCTTTTCTCCAACACCCTGGCCTCAGGATGCCTTTATACTTTGAGAGATGACGGAAACCCCCAAAGCTCTTGCTTATGTGTATTTTTACCTATTGATCTTTGCCATTTTGTTTATTTATTTATTTATTTATTTTATTTTTGAGACAGGGTCTCACTATGTAGTTGAGACTGACCTGGAACTCACTATGGAGCCCAGGCTGATCTCAAACTCACAGTGATCCTCCTGCCTCAGCCTCCTGAGTGCTGGGATTACAGGTGCCACCACGCCCAGCTGATCTTTGCCATTTTAGAAACCACGAAGTCTTCACTAAAAAGAATCAATCCAGGGCTGGGGATTTAGTTCAGTGGTTCCACCACCTGCCTTGCAAGCACAAGAACCCAAGTTTGATCCCTGGTACCAAAAAAAAAAATCCAGTACCTGTAAGCATAAATACCCATAACAGAAAATAACTTTTTCAAAATAAAAACCATGTTAAGAGAGGCATTACCTGATATTTTTGTATGTCTAAGGTCTGCATTCTCACTGATCTGCTACTGCATACAACCAATTAAGATATGTGCCCCATAAGCTCCGGAAAACACTAGACTTATAAGTGAATGAATAAAAAAGAAATACCATTTTGAAAATATTCTCACTGTCCAGATGCTTGGAGAGGGTCTTGGGAAGACTTGAGTTCCCTGAGACCAGTAATGCAAAAGGTGAAGGCAAAAAATCCCGAATGGCTTGGCAGTCAGGAGAGGGGAAAGCTGACCCTGAGTTAAACAAGACCCTAAATTTGGCCCATACTTCCACAGAAAGCAAATGAGGGTTCAACTGGATCATTTTATTTTGTCACAGTGCTGAGGATTGAACCCAGGGCTATGCATGTGCTAGACAAGTGCTCCACCACTGAGGGTTCCTCAGCCCTTTTCACTTTGACCCAAGTCTTGCAAAGCTGTCCAGGTTGTCCTCAAACTTTTGATCCTCTTGCCTCAGTTCTTCTAGTAGCTGGGATTACAGGCATGTGCCACTGCAACCAGCTCAACTAGGTAATTTCTGACATTCTTCTCAATTCTAATATTCTGGTCAGGCATAGTGGTGGAGCATGCCTATAATTCTAGCACTTTGGAAGGCTGAGGCAGGAGGGTAGCAAGATGGAGCCCAGTCCAGGCAACTTAGTGATTAAGCAAGGAAAAAAGGAGCTGGGAATGTAGTTCAGTGTGTAGGCCCTGGGTTAATTCCCCGATACTGGGAGAAGAAAAAAAAAAATCTACATGTAGTTTCACTACAATTCAAGACACAAGCACCTTCTGTGGGCTAGATGAATTAAAAACATAGTTGCTACAGTCACAGAATTCATGTTCATTTGGTTTCTAGAAGCCATGTAAGGTCAGGGCAAGGCCCACTGCCAAGTCACTGGAAATGGCATGAGGCTCACGGATAAGGGATAAGGGACAAATTTCCACTTCCATCAATGGCAGCAGTCAGATGCTATTTCCTATATTTCTTCCCTCTTGGGCTAGCATATTGAAAAGTGCCTCCATCTGGCATTTAAGGTCCCTGTCATCCTATTTACCTGCTTTCTCTGAACTCGCTGGCACCACTACCTTCTTGGATGATCGTAGCAGCGTTCCTAGCACTCAGCAACTTTAGAATTCATGACGTCTAACATCTGGGTATCTCAGAAGCCTCCAGGCTTCCCCTGCACTGGCCGTCATCCTGCCGCTACTTCCCTTGAAGACACTGGCGCCTCTCTCTCCATGGCCCCAGCCTGAGGCCCCCTTCTTCTTTGCCCTCTCTGCCTCCCACCGGTGATACCTTACTTCCCTGGTCTACCTGCCAAATAGAAATCTCTCTGAAGTGCTTTTTTAGCCCATCTTCTCCAAAAATATTCAGTTGTCACCACTGACTTGTTCATCCTCTCTGCTTTGCTGAAAAATATGAAGTTCCCAGCCCCAGTTGTCTGCACCAAGCCTTCTTTCGAGGCCTGCCCCTTCTTGGCCCGTCTGTCCCTGTGCACCTCTGCATAGTCCCCATCCTCCTTACCGTGCGTTACTTTTCTCTCTTCGTGTGTCTATCGTCCACGCTCTCTATCAGAATAGCAACTCCCTGAGTGTAGGGACTTTTGCTTACCACTACATCCCCAGCTTCTGGATCAGTGCCAGACATACAGCAGGCCTTCTGACACTTGTTGAAGGGATGCATGATTATCAAAGGACGGGCTGTTTTGCTCATTTTGTTTTTAGTGCTCCGCACACTGCCTGTCACCTAGTAAGCCATCTACTAGGCTTACTAATTCATTTTACTGAATCAGTGAAGAAGCCAGTTGCCAGGTAAATTTTTGACTTTTTTTTTAAAAAAGCTGCTTCACTAGGTCCTATTGTTAGCACTGTCTTTTGCATGTGCCTCTTCCTGTTGTTACTTTACACCTGAGCTTCACCAGTAACCTTTAAAGCTCTGCAGGTGAAGTCCATCCTGCGTGCATGTGCTGCATTGTTAAAATAATATTCTTTTATAAAGATAATATTGTGGGGCCAGGGATTTAGCTCAGTGGCACTGTGTCTGCCTCACAAGCACAAGGTCCTGAGTCCAATTCCTGGTACCAAAAAAAAAAAAAAATTGTGATATTGTCCCTCTGCTCAAAAATCCAGTGCTTCCCCACTGTCGCTTCTAATGTACAAACAGGTGATACTGCAAAAGCTCATCTGTAAGCTAGCTACTCAGAAAAAAGCTTACTATCCTTGGTACATACCAATCAGGTCACAGAAGTTTGCACACACACACACACACACACACACACACACACATTACGTATATACTGAATATTTACTGAACAGTGAAATATAAAACAATATTTCTGTAGAAAAATATGCTGAGATTCATTTTGGGATGCCAGGTGCACATCCTGGCTGATGGGGAATTCCCTCTCCAAGCCAAATTGATGATTCTCATAGGCTGTGACAGCAGCTGTCTAAATGCATCTGGCATTCAAGGCTCTCTCATATTCCATTGTCATCATGAAATTGTTATGATGAAACCTTTCCCCCATCATTCTAAAAGCAGTGATAGCTTTCGTGCTCTGAAGTCTAGAGAGTTTGACAGCTGTTCTATCTACTTCATGATCATGTATTTTTAATTCCTTATCAGTATGTCTTAACTCTGAACATCTGGAGGGAAAAGGGTCCATTCTTATGTCCTCTACAGTCCCTGGCACATAATACATAGTAAGCACCTGTTACTGACTAAATGAAGGAATTAATGCCTGTTGTGTTTCAGATGATGCATCCTGGGAAAAAGCAGGAATCTCATCTTCATAATGACCAATTATGCTTTCCTTCTCCAAAGTATTCTGCAGTCCTAATATCAGGAGGCTGCCTTGTGAATGTTTGCAAGAGTCCGCAGTAGGAAATGGCTGGAAACATGAAGGGGTCAGTGTCAAATGACCTTGATTAACCTTAGTAACTGTAGAGATGATAGGTCAGGTTACTTACAAGTATATCTTGGCAGCCACAGGATTCTGTGCAGAAACGGGGTCCAAGACAGTATAACACATCCATAAGCTTTTTGGGGTGGAAACTAGCTTTCAAAGCTGGCATCAAAAGCCAAGTCTTTCTGACCCCATGGAGGGTTGTGAAGATGACACAGTGACCAATTGCCTCATGGGCACTTCAGGGCCAGTATGCTTGTCTGATGGCAACCCCGACACTTCCTTATTTCCTAAAACCGCTGGGATTAAGGGGAAGACACCAACCTTCTCAAGGAGGGCTTTTCAATCAAGAGCACATGAGCAACTCCTCTCCTCAGCCAGTACCTTCAGGTGCCAAGTCCATGCTCATCTGGTATCACACTGATGACCTGCTCTTGGAAAAACTACTCCATCTGCTGCTAAAGGGTCTTGCCTGCAACACTGTCAATAGCAAAAGATTAGGAAGTGCACGGATACCTATAACATTGGTTAAATGATAGTACAACCATCAGCGGGAGTGCGCTTCCATCCAGGTGATACGTTAGATACTGTTAAAGACTAAAAAGCAAGATACATATGTATGTGTTTGTACAGGCACAGGAAATCCGTGGAAGGTCGTTTATGCATTCAACTAATTTTTTTTTTTTTTTTGAGACAGCGTCTCACTGTAGTTGAGACTAATATGGAACTCACTATGTAGCCCAGGCTCGTCTCGAACTCAAAGCGATTCTCCTGCCTCAGCCTCCCGAGTGCTGGGATTACAAGCGTGCTCCATCATGCCCGGTTCAACTAATATTTGTTAAACATGTTAAAGTATCTGAAAAAATCATTAACAGGGGTTACCCGTGAGGAGTAGTTCGGAAGGAAAAATTTACTTGAACTGTTCGGTAAGCTTCTTTACCCCAATTACGCGGGTCCGGGATGGAATTCAGGGATGCTTTACCATTGAGCTACATTCTCCGACCTTTTTGAGAGAGGGTCTCCTTAAATTGTCCAGACTAGCATTAGTCTTGCAATCTTTCTGCCTCCGCTTCCCTTGTAGCTAGGATTATAAGTGTGCAACAGTGTGCCTGCTCTGTGCATTTTTTTATTTTTGGAAAACCGTAATCATTGCTTTTTTTTTTTTTTTCCTGGTACCAGAAATTGAACTCAGGATTTTGCGCTTGCGAGGCAGGCGCAGCGCCACTGAGCTAAATCCCGGGGCGATCACTGCTTTTATAAAGTGAAAGAAAAGGAAGTTTGATAAAATAGGTAGAATTATCCAACAGGTGCTTGACTAGAAAGGTGCAGGGTTATCAGAAACATAATAAAGAACTTAAAAATCTCGACAGCTTTATAGTGAGGATGGCAGTGAAAACAACTTTCCAGTTCTAAAGGGTAGGGCAAGAGGGAGCTCATTCTAAAACTGGAAAAACCTGGAGCTGAGTTGCTGAGCGCTTAAATGCGGGCGACCCAGGCCTCCCTAATCACACGATTTTGAAATCTTTCTCCGCCGGTGGTGTGAAACCGAAGAGGAGGCAGAGGCTGTTTCGTTGTTTGGGGTGCGCCTAACACAGAGGGTCACCCATTTGCCAGGCTCAGCTGCAAGCTGGATAGGACTCGAATCTGCAATTGCCATGACTCTAACCCAAGAGACAACTCGGGATCCAGAGGTCGCAAGGCTAGTGTGATTTCCACCCAGAGCCGACCTCAAGTCACGCTCCGAACAGCCACGCTCCAGCGGGCGACTTGCCCTAACTTGGGAGCCACCTCGGCCGCTCAGCAGCGCGGAAGCAGCGTCTACGCCGGGAAGGGGCGGAGTGCCCGAGCCTTCGCCGCACGGGTCCCGGGACGAGAGGAACCCCGCCCCGGCCGCTCCGCGCCTCTCGTTTCCTCTCTGCAGCGCGTGCGAGGGTCTTGAAGATGAAGGAGCCAGGATATCCACGGACGGGCTCCTCTGCACTTTTAGCCTTCTTTCTTTTAGGACTGGACAGCGGCTCCACCCCGCAAGCACTGAGGACCGCGGCGGCAAAATGAGAGCCGAGGAAAACGCGCCCGCGCCCGCCGGGATTTGGTTCAGGCGCGTGCGCGGTGCGCGTGAGCGACGAGGGCGCGGCAAGTCGGG